TTTGAAAGATGTACATTATTTGATAAAACACCATTTTTTGACAAATAATTTATATAGAAAGTAATTTATCAAATAATTACTTTGAAATAATGTCATGTACATGCAACAAAATTCTCAACGACCCAGATAGAACATGCAACAAAATTCTCAATGACCCAGATAGAACATGAATTGATAAATCAGTCTGATCAAGAACAGAAATTACAACTGAGACGTGTAAGAAATTTTCATATAATAATTGAAAACAAAGATTGATTGATAGATAAAATATCATATATCAATTTTGATTCTGAGAGGAATTTGTGTACCTGATTGGGCCATCTTATCTACTGAGCGAAGAACCTTGATCTCATGGCTAGAGTCTTCCCGCTGAATGCATTCTTGGGGAGGGGGCTGAACCTTTGGCCATCACTGACCCCCGCACTCCGGATTAGTCTCATAGCCGGCTCAAAGAGTCGAAGCTTGTGGGGATACCGGAGGGAGCCAACTCGCCTCAAGGAGGTAATTAGGGTTGGGTAACTCCAAAAAAAAAAAAGAGTCTTCCTCTCTATGACTTATTCCAAAATGGCAGCCTTCTGTGGTGGGAGCATTACGGCTCATGGGACTTAATCTCAATATAAATAGGCTAGAGAGGGGACCTAGCCAAATACCCTAAAAAGAGTTTGTGTCCACTGGGTCCACCCATCACGAAAAATCAGGATCACACTAAAACCTACACAGCTGCCCAACTAGGCCCAATACCAACAGATGCCAAAAGCTCAACTCAACATGATCACAATGGGCTTATCAAAATAATACAATTGAAATATTCATTAACCTGATTAATTTTAAAATAGAAAACTGATTAATTAATATTGCCCACATAAAGGAAAATTTCTAACATTCTCTCACTTGGGCTATATTAATTAATTTAATATTATTTTAAAAATCATTTTATTTTGAAAACGACTCTATCGGGTTAATAACTAAAAAATCATTTTACGTGGCCACGATTTTGAAAAATAATATTCCAATTCCAATACCAGCATCCCAACACAATTCAATTCAACATAACCCCATCATAGGAACATGGCGATCAATATACCAAAAATATCATAGCATATGACCTTCCATACTCACATACAATGGGTATTACATCTTCATGAATCAAGGCCTAGTAGTGTAGTAAGAATTAGTGCGAAAATGTGATCAAAGACGTAACACACTAATTCTTAAAGGTCCTCAATGTAATTTCTCAGCAACATGAAGTTACATTAGTGCAATTTCCAAACAACGTGAAATTACACTCCATAATGCAATTTCTTAACAACATGAAATCGCATTACCGCAATCTCTAAACAACAAGAAATCGTAGTAACCCAATTTCTAAACAACATGAAATTGCCTTTTTCAATTCAATTTCTTAACGACATGAAATGGAATTAACGCAATTTCCTAACGAAATGTAATTGCTTAGTTTAAATAAACCAACGTGTCACAATACAACATGAGATCTCAAAATCTCAAAATTTATGACATCCAATCATCTTTAAGCGGTCACAACATGCTTAAAGATACTATTCATACATATATTTCTCAGTCTACAGCAGAAATAACAATAATGATGATCATCAATCATTAAAATTCAAACAAAAGTCACAAAAATCATCATCAGTTTGCATGACCAAAAAAGCAAACTAAATATAACTTCCACTGATCAAGGGAATCAAAAGAATTTAAAACACTCAAAAGAAAGCCTCGAGTACAACTCCCACTAATTAAAGGAATCAAAAGAATTTAAAGTACTTATATATACAAGGGAGGCTACTTCAAGGTATTTCCTATAAAACATTTTTAGATAAAAAAACTTTTATTTCATTCAGTAAATCATCATCTTACTGAAAAATAAAATATCATCTACATAAAGTACTAAGAATATACTTCTACTCTCACTTACTTTCACGTAGATGCACTTCTCAAATATATTTAAATTAATTCAAAGGAATTAACAAAAATTCACTGTTAAGGCAAAACGAATGCATCCAAAAAAACTATAGGACAAAATACAACTTCAACTAAGGCAAGTTATTACAACGAGACAAACAAAATAGTACATTCCTCTTTGAGCAAAATGCACATACCAAGGTTTAAACCAAGATTAAAGCCTCAGATGAATCAATCAATGAGTATACACTAGCTTCAGAGATCTGTCTCCTTTGAGCAGACAGATCACCTAGACCAATGCACCCCAATAATTTTATTGCAGACAAGCTTCTAATTAAAACACACAATAACTCCCCTTGGGCAGGAAATTGCATGAAATAATCAAAAGCATTCCTCAAATTTTAAAAAAAAATTACATGAAAAATAAATCAATCCCACTTTAGCCGTAATACCATAGTAATTCGTAGAAACTCTTACAAATCTTGTCCAAAATCATGATGCATTCCACAAGGAGGTGTAACACCTTCACTGATCATGAGTTCAAAAATAATAGCATTCTTAAAAAGGTTTTACACTTAAACAGTTCTAGCGAAAGCATATAACTCAATAAATAAAAATATTCTATAAACTATACATCTTCATTTCTTATAATTTGACATAGTAAATAACTTAACAATAACATGTTGTTGTTGATGGCAAAAAAAAACTAATTGACATACACAATGCAATAAGATTAAATTCGGGCAACAACAAAATAATTTATGGGAAATCTTTTTCTTATGTTGTTGGAGATAGTTATCTTATGTTAGTGAAACAAAATTATAAGAGGGGCCTACAAATGAATGAAGAGAGAAAAAATAGAAGTGGGACTCACGTTTGTTGTGTGTGTGTAGGAAGAGAGATTATCTCATGTTAAATGAGATAAATATAACCCATAATTTATATACCATAAACCCTCCCTTTGGACAGGGAATATAATATACAAATATTTTTTATCACATGAAGATTTGAACAACAAGGAGAATTACCAGGGCTGTGCATACGTTAGGTCGGGTCAGGTTTTTGTGCTGACCCGACTTGGTTTGATAGTCAAGTATTTTGACCCGACCCAGTTTAATTTGATCCAAGTCAGGTCTGACTTGATTTGAATTTTTTTTGAATTGGTTCAAACTAGATCAAATCTGACCTGACTTGATTTCTGAAGTGGGTCTGACTTGGTTTCAAAATCGGGTCAAATCCGACCTGACCCACTTTTAACTTGGTTTCAAAACTTGTTTTTATTTGATTTTTTTTATAGTTATTGATTTAATTTTAAAGTCAAGTAATTTTATTATTTATTTGTTTTAAAATATATAAATTGTATAATAAATTTGATATTTGTTGAATAAATACCGATTCTTAAAAAAAAATGCTAATATTACTATTCCATGGTATTATTCAGTGTCATGGGTAGCTCATTCTAACTCATAATTGATATTTGCAATTAGCAATTATCATGATTTTATTGGATCACCAAAAAACTCCAAACTTATGATAAATAAATAAAAAAATTCAAACAAAAAATTATCCCATAAAATATCAACGTAAGGATTCCATTTACTTAATGTAAGAAATTAAAATCAGCAGATATTTACGAACAATTTCTATAGTATGACTAACTCTTATTTAATCAACACTAGTGTCTACAATCTATCTCATTGCTTGACTACCCCATGAAATCTTGGAGGCTTATAGCACGTAAAATTTTCAAGTAGACAGAATAATAATTATCCTATCACATGTTGTATCAAAATCAAAGCCTGTGTGTTATCAAAAAAAAAAAAAAAAATCAAAGCCTGTGAATTTGTAATCCCTTTTGGATTTAAAGTCACTAGATCACAAATATATTTTCACATTGATCTCCAAGCACTCATATGATATGATCCAATTTCCCTCTCTACCATATCTCTGATAGTACTACTAAAATTTAGAACACACTAGTTACATTGGCTCGTATTCCAACACCTCAAACAAGCTTGTTTCCATTCTTATCGGGAGAAGAGAGAACCTAAGTCCCAAATTGACTTACCGTGATTTTTGGCTATTTTTTTCTTCACAAAATGGGTTTGGGTCAATCAATGGCGGACGCAGGTGAGTGCAAGTGCCTGCACTTGCAGACACAAAGTTGGGGGAAAAAAATTTCATATGAGATGAGTGATTCAAGTCAAGTAAATAAGAAAAAAAAAAAAGGGAAAAGTTCACCAATGCCCCTGTGGTTTACTTCAGAATCACTTATGCTCCTGTGGTTTTTTTCTTATCACATATGCCCCGGTGGTTTGTAAAAGGGTATGTTTTTTATCACATATACCTCTGTGGTTTCTTATTTTTTACAAAGCACATGGGCATATGTGATAGAAAAAAACCACAGGGGCATAAATGATTCTGAAGCAAACTACATGGGCATTGGTGAACTTTTCCCAAAAAAGAATTAGGAAAATTAAAGGAAAAAGGTAAAAATATGTCCAACCCAACCAACCCCTACAATTAAAAGCTTAAAGTTTAAACCCTAGCCCATTGCTTTGTCTTTTTTTTTTATAAACCTTATTAGCTCCAAATCTTAATAAACATCAACATTCCTGAAATTCAATCTTCGAGGAGAATCGCACGGAATTTTTCATGTTTTTTTGTGAAATAAAAATGACCAACTTTGGATCAAATAGACATCGACAAAGGTGAGTTTTTGATCGATTAACTCTTACAATTATACTATATTTTACAAATGTCTTTTTGTGGTGTTTATTTCTTTTTTAATTATCATTATTTATTATTTCCTTAAGACTTTGGTTGATTCACCAAAGCTTTACTTTTGAAGTGGAAGCAAAAATTGAATCATGATGGTGATCTTTAAAATAAAAATAAAAATATTGTGCAGACATAAAGAAAATATGATGGGTTCGCCACTGGGTCAATTATTAAAACAAGTTAAGTTTAAAACTGATCCAAATATAAGTAATTCAATATTTAAACCTAGTTAAAAAAATATATATATATTTATGGGTAAAAAAAACCAATTTTTTTCGCACTCTCACAAACAGACACACTCACACTCACACAAATTCGGAATTTGGATCTCCTTTTCGATCCCCTGTTCCTCTGCGAAACGAAAACTATAATTTCGCATAGCGCTGCAATACCATGTTGTAATTTCAATCATGCAAACTGAAACTTTCCAATTTTCCATAATTACGGTCCATTGAGTCAAAATCTTATTCTTATTTTTATTATTATTATATTTTCTCAGCTTCCAAGTCCAGATCCTTCAATTCTCTTTGTGAACCTTCAAATATCAAATCTTGTACTACTCACTCCATGTAGCTTCTCCTTAAACTGCGATTCAATGATTCCGTTGCTTCGCTGCACTCTCTTTTCGGGTACGTTTAATCATTTCCCCTTTTTCCAAATAAGAAAAAATATAGTACAATGAACAATTACCCTTTCGGATCCCAAGGCCCCAAGTCCTTTCACGCATACCCAAGAAGTGACTTCGATTTAGAATCAGGAACCGTCGTCAAACGAACCAGAAGACCAAAAAACTCATCTTTTCACCCCTTCAGGATGATCAAATCATTTGGGAAACGTTTTCACCACTATTTCAAGCTTCACCCACTCATGGGTCTCTTCTTCATAGCCTTGTCTTTTGGGGTCACACTTATCATATTTATCTCTTTTTATGGAACCCATTACGGGGTGCAGCAGAATGTTTATGGTAAATCTGATGTGGGTTTGTATGATTATCCGTTCCCCAAGCTTCAGAATCTTGTTATGGTTGCTGGGCATTCCATTTATACAAGCAGCAACTGTGGGAAAATTGACAAAGAGGATTCTTGGTTTTTGGAGTCTTATCAGAAGAATCCTGGTCAAGCTACCACTTTTCTGGCACATATTCATAAAGGGATTGAAATTGCAGCCAGGGATGACTCTGCTCTGCTTCTGTTCAGTGGTGGAGAGACTCGCAGAGATGCTGGCCCTCGTAGTGAGGCGCAGAGTTATTGGGCTGTTGCAGATTCGAAAGGATGGTTTGGTGAGTTTCTTCATTTTATTGAGTTTTTTTAGAGTAACTGTTTTGGCACTGGCAGCATATTATCTTATCATTGAAATTCAATGCTTGCTCTGGCTCACTTTTGGAAATTATAGAGTAGGAAGCATCACCAAAGGAGAAGGAATAGATTTGACTGATTATACTATTGTTATTTATCATATACTTGGCACAGCAGCTTTAGATACGTATTTTGTTACTGTCAAGTGTATCATTCACTATATGTAAGACATGAATGTTGAAAAACAAATTATAAATCATAATAAAAGGAAATAGAACATAGTTGATTAGCTATGTGAATTCAGCTGGTATTTAGATGCACTTCTGCAACCCATCTATGTGAATAGAAACATGAGAATTAGTTAATGCATCTTTGGTTCTTTTTTTTCGGCATCTTGCCACCTTGTCTCATTAGCAAAAAAATTACACCTTATGTGAAGTCCAAATTTTATGAGTGAAATATCATCTGTTATCTTTTATCAGAATTAATTTTCATGTTATACAATTTATTTTATGTTTTACAACTCATCAATCCATGCAAAAATAGGATTGGTGCATGAATTAGGCATGTAAGCTTGAAAAATTCGTGAGTTAACTTCAGTTCCAATAGTTGATTTTAATCCTACATCTCGAGTACACTCATTTCCATTTGAGTCCAACTTGTGATCTGAAAGCAATACAAAATCAGAGGATGTTTACTTTAAATAGGGAAAGAAATGAGAGTACAGATAGGAACTTTCTTCCGCAAGAAAAGTGTTTTTCTTGGCCTTCGTTATAATTTAGGAAGAAATACTCTACCTCAGTTTAATCAGTTTGTACTTGGATTAAGTTTGTCCCTGGATCCACTCTACCATTATAGAGACCTATGATAATTGTATTCTTGCTGCATTCATTGAGTTGCTATCATGTTTTATGTTACTAATAAAATTGCTTACTTCTTTTTTTGCTTTAGAATTTTTTAATGCATACTTAATGAATCCCACTATATTAGCTGCACATATTTTTCCTATAACTTTGTAATGTTATCTTGATGAGTGTCCACTGCATCATTATCTCTATTTCCTCAGGATGTTGCTGATATGGATGACATAAAGTGTTTCACCTTTAGTTTATTCGCACATGCTTCCCTAATAAACTGCTTTGATCAGAAATCCTCATTTTTTTGGGTTGCTTATGTAGGTAAAGAAGAAAGTGTGAAATGGAGAGCACTTACAGAGGAACATGCACGGGACAGCTTTGAAAATCTTCTATTTAGTGTCTGTCGATTCCGAGAGCTTACTGGCTCCTATCCCCAAAATATAACTGTATGTATTCCTACCTTATGCGAGTTGTGAAGTGTTCTGTTCTTTCTTGTAAAAAGATGGAATATGTTGATATTTTTGTGGGATGATGAAAATAAATGAAAAAGAGGGAAACAAATTTAATAAAATATTTGATTATACTTTCGTTGCGTGACAAGCTCAAAGCCGCCTCTGATTTTCGTAATGGTTGCTGATAAATACTCTGATTGATTTGTAAAAAAGGTTATTAATGTGCATACAGCATACATGGTGCGAATGAAGTCTATCATTTTGTATTCCCAATAAAATTAACAGGGATTAGTCTTTAATGATCATGCCTCAGTCCTATAGCAAATACTGAGAATGTGAAATTGCAGAAAAGAATTATGAATTATTCATTACTAATATGTTAGGAAAAAATGCTGTAGTTCAGGTACTTATTTGAAATATGATTCAGAGAATTTTTTGCTCCAGCTGACTGACATTATGTTTAATGATGTTATCTATCAATCGAGCATATATAAATATGTAATTATGATTTTCTGGTGGATAGATCCTCCATGGACTAACAAATTTTGGCTTTTATTGCTGCATTGCACATTTGTCTTGCAATCTTTAGTCCTGACGTTTTTGTTGTGAATGAGGTATACAGTGTCATCAATAGAAGTCTAGAGCAGCCTATTAAGTTTTCTGTTTCAAAAGTCTTTTCCTATACAAGTTTCATTCTTCCTTTAAAAAAATAAATAAATGATAATCAGATATTCTTTGACTTATTGTCTCCATGTGACTAAGGGTCATAGGTTCGATTCATGTAATCACCCTTTTGAAAATGCAAGACAAGGCTATCTACTAAACTACACAGTGGGTTTGATCCTTTTCTAGACCCTATGCATAGTAGGTGCTTTATAACACCACGTTGCCCCTTTTTATTGGTGATATCATGATTTGCCTTATTTTTAGTTGCATCTTGCTTTACATTTGTGTCCAATGAGGTTTACGGTGTCATCAATAGAAGAAGTCTAGAGCAGCATATTAAGTTTTCTGTTTCAAAAGTCTTTTTCTATCCAAGTTTAATTCTTCTATAAAAAACAAATTGAATGATGATTAGAGATTCTTTGACTAATATATAAAATCTCTCAAATATTCAAAATTACCGATGACATCATGCTTAGCCTTATTTTTAGTTGCATCATGAGATTCAATCTGATTTTTTGAATATGGGAATCAGGTTGTAAGTTACGATTTCAAGGAAGACAGATTTGCGCATCTACATCGATCTGCTATTGGGTTTCCAGAGTCAAAGTTCTTCTATGTTGGCACTCCCGCTACATCAAATGCAAAAGCAGGTGCTCTGAAAGGCGAGGAATTGGTCAGAACTCAATTCCAAAGAGATCCATATGGATGTCGAGGTTCACTTTATCACAAGAAACTAAAGCGTGATCCTTTCCATCGGTCAATTCCTTATCCAAATGGGTGTCCTGAAATTGAAGCTTTATTCAGATATTGTGAACCAACTCCTTATCCTGGTGCACTCCCGTGGTCATAGTAACCATAACTTAGTATATACAAGTGTAAACTAACAAGATAGAGATATTAGATACAAATACGATGACTTTACATTGCATGAATTTGTTGATGAATGATATGAAGATTAAATTTTGTTGAACTGAGATGATGATAAATTGTGTAGATGAAAATGATGTTGCTTCTTGGGTAGAAGAAGTCTATCAAGGTTTATGTAAGGCTATCTTGCACCGACACGAGACACGATACAGTTAATTTTAAAAAATATTGGAAATGGATCCTCTAATGTAGAAAAAAAAAATGATATGGTCATGTGGGAATATCACAACCATACAAAGGTAAATCAATGGTTATGATTTCATAATTACTTATTTTAACATTTTTTCTCTCTCCTCCTTTATTACCATTGATCCACCTTTGTATAGTTATGATTCTCCACATGACATCGACATGTGAATTTTCACATGAGAGGATCTAGATCCAAAAATATTAGATTTCGATACATTAGAATATCCCATCAATATTATATTTAATATTCAATAATTTAATAAAAAATAAAGTTAAATTTATAATACCCATTAATATTGCAAATAAATATTTATATTAAATTCAATAAAATAATAATCGTAATCCAACGAATTTAATAGTTGAAACTAAAAATGCAATGCAAATTTTGAATCTTTTTTTCAGTCACAGTAATGCTTGTTGGAGTATCGGACACCACACGTCAATGTTTTTGAAGTGTGGTGCATCATATATGTAAGGTGATTTATTTAAACTCTTGGTGAAATGAAATTAATAATTGAATGAGAAGTCTGGTAACCGCCTTCTGAGAGAGATGCATTTCGTTACATGTTTTATTGGCTTTATGCTGTTACAGATGTTGCCATCACGGTAAATATGGAAAAGAATTGTGTCCAGGCTTCATCTTTCCACAATTGGATATATTGGCATAGATGTAAGACTCTTAGAATATGACAGTTTTTTGTATTGCATTGTGATATGAGATTATGAAATGGTCTTGCTTAATATGTCCCTAAAATTTGTACTTAAACAGCAGATTATAAAATGGTTTCTTAAAATAAACTCCTTTTTCTTCTTGTTGGTCATCTCACCTGTGAAGCAGCACATATAACGAGACTTTCTTACCTGTTTTCATTACTTCTGAGCATAAAATTTCTGATAATTGAACATGCCTACTACACGAGTAGGTTAAAGGGGGCAAGGGATGGCACTCGTACTACAACGTTAATTTACTCTACCAAGTGTTGCTCGGTATAGGACAGCTTGAAAAAGCATCTTCAGAAAAGCCATCAACACAGGACCTTACAGGAGACCTGGGAATATCATATATGATAACTCTGTTGGATGGAGTTAGACAAGTCAACCTATTTAATTGAGCCCAACCTTACTCAACATCGGATTATCCATTTTCAGTCCAAATTCTCATACTTCATATTTAGGACATGTACCTGCTTGTATGCTTTTCTGAAATATTTTAAACATAGAAATGATTTGATTTGATTTAATTTAGAAATAATATTTGAACCCTTAATAAAAACAAATTTTTAATTAAATTAAACATGACAAAACCCACTAAAGATAAGATTGATTTAGCCTTATTTTAATAATTAAGCTATTTAGTTTTCAAAACAATGCAATTTCTACTACCCTAAGAAGTTAGATTTCTAGAACAAAAAAAAAATGAAATTTAAAATTTTTTGATAGCAAAAACATTTCTTTTTTTTTTAGATTTGTAACACACTTTGTTCAACAACCAAAGGACATAACAATTAGAGGAAACTCAATCTAATTAAAACAATAGTGAAAATGTAAAATTTACTTTTACTTCATCATCATAATCTTAATGTATACAAAAGCTTATCCACCCCAAAGATTCAATAAAAAACCTCAATTGGAGATATGCATTTATCCTTTGTACCAAGTCCAACACAACCGCTATATAATCATTACTGGTTAAGCATGTTCCTGACTGCTCGTTATGCACATTACTGCCACAACCTACCAAATTTACGACCGTACGAAAATAGGCCTTTTTGTAGCTAGGTATTTGCAAAATGGTGATCCTAAGAAATCAGTTCAATTAAACGGTGGCTTTCGTGTGTCATAAGACTCATAACAAAGTTTCTACTCCAGATGACCATTTAATTTTTTTAGCTGCTCTAAGTCTAACTTCTAAACCCAAATCATCATATTTCTTATCTAGTTCATCATCTGAATATGATTGCATAAGTATTCTTCCACCATTCCATATCCAAACCTTCACAGGTATTACATCACGATTTCAAATTAACTCAAAGCTTCCCAAACAATGTTGTTAATTATGCTTTTAATAAGATCCAACACCAAAAAAGGGTTGATTTCAACAGAAATCCCCTCTTCCCCACTAATCAGCCACTATCAAAATCTTGGAAGGCGTCTTAGCCATACCAAAAAAAAAATAAGAAATAAAAAAAACTGATTTAAAATAATTAAAATAGCCTGACAGAGAAACCAACGATTCAGTACTGCAAGAAATATTGGATATACTAGTTTCTAATGGGATTCAAGGTTTTACTCCAGATTTTAATCGTATAATCTAATTTGTCCTTCCAGAAATTAGACAACATATTAAACAAGGAAAATCAAATGCAACGCTAATAATTTAATAAAAAAACATTAGGAAAAAAAAAAGCATAACAATTTCATTAAGAAGGAACAAGGAACCATCAGAAACCAAAATTTTATCCCCAGAAGCTATAAAAGCTGTACGGTCCGCATCATGGTTAGGGTTACAAAACCCCCCATCACTTGGTTCCAGTTTCAAATTGGTTTCCAGAATCTGTTCACTACATGAATTCACTTGCAATCAAAAAAAATTCATAAAAAAGTCAAAAACAACATTTCATTAAAATAAAAATTAAAACTTGAATGGTAATGATGAAAGGAAAAGAGCTCAGATAAAATGGGTATGAGAAAATTATCAGCACTGAATAATCAGAGTGGTGCATGACATTCTCTATGACTCATCACAGCCCACAAAATTCAACTTTAGAAGCAAAACACACTAAGAATTCATGAACGTAAACGATTGTTGAAAATAACGAAATTGAGAAATCGAGGAAGAAGATGGCGGAGGAGTAAGGGTTGCAGGCTCGGTTATATAAGGGAAAGTAGAGAAACCCTAGTTCGCATTTCAAAAGCCCATTTTTTGTTTGACATATTTACCCTTATTATGTTTTGTTAATAACAGTGATGCCACACAAAAATGGCCCAGTCCATCCATGATCAGACCACACGGCCCAGTTCTCCTTTATCAAACCAACTAAGTCCTTCCAAATAATTTCACCAATATGCAAAAAAAAAAAAAAAAAAAAATGTGCCAACAATTATAATAATAATAACTTCGTATATTTACCAAAATGTGTTAGTTTGAGGAAACGAATTAAATTTTTTTTGATTATGTGGTTTTGAATCGATTTCAGAAATCATATGCATAAAAAAAATATTATATCTTTGATTTAGCGTATGTCACAAAATTAATTTTTTGTTTTATCGGCTAAGAGAATACTATGATAAACTAAAAATAATAATTAAAAAAGGCATCTAAAAGGATCCCAAAGGGTGATTAAATAATAATAAGATTGGTGCTGTTGGTCTTTACCCATCAGCTTACCCAAAAAAAATTAATAATAGCAATAAGATTGAATTTAACATTTTAAAGCTTATGCAGTATCAAAGTAAAATACTTACAAAGTACTTATAAAAAAATAATTTTAGAATTTCAAATAACAATTAATCAAATGTTAAGCTGAAATCTAAAAAAGATGAAAAGTTTATCATAGCCCAAAATATATCCTCTTACATCTTATTTTAATATCATATCATCACGTCATGTAAAAGATTTGCGTTACTTATTTATAAATTAACGATTATTTAACTGTTTCTTGATTTAAATCTAATAGATTATTATTTTTATTGTTGTTGTACCGTGGTTAGTAAGCATTCATATAAGCTTTTACATTCCTTGACTAATCCATCTCTCCAACTTGAGGAAAGGTGGACTATTCATGTTGAGAATACGAGATTAACAAAGTTGTTGCAATCTAACCTATATAATTGACATGACTATGGTTTAAGGGGGTGTTTGGGGCTTTTTCACCCTTTTGCCTCTTATTAATTAATTAATAATCATTTTGTCCCTGATTTGAAACTATTTATCAATCTGCCCCTCTTTAGTCGACTACCTTGCATTTTTAATCGACTAAATGGCCAAAACAGATAAAAAATGGCTGCTGGGAGATTTAGTCGACTAAATCTCCCTATTTAGTCGACTAAATCTTCATATTTAACAAAAAAAAAAATAAGTCAGTATGATTTTAATCGATTAAGTAGGGAGATTTAGTCGATTAAATCTCCCAACAACCGTTTAGTCGATTAAAAATGTAAGGTAGTCGATTAAAGAGGGGCAGATTGGTAGATAGTTTCGAATCAGGGGCAAAATGGTTATTAATTAATTAATAAGGGACAAAATGGTGAAAAAGCCGGGTGTTTGGTATGGAAAAAAAATTATTATTGGAAAAAAAATTTAAAATATGATGAGAAATTTTTGTGTTTGTGTAAGTTACAAAAATGTGTTTGGTATGCAAAAAATTTGCTAAAGAAGTTGGATTATTTTTACTAATATTTTATTTGGTTAATAGTGAAATATTGATTGGAAGTGTACTTGATACAGACTTTTTGAGGTTATTTTTGTCTACAAATAGTAAAAGATGTTTCTCATTCTTGAATTTAAAAAATACCACACTTCAAATGACTATTTTTTTCCCATTGTCTAGTTCAAAACAAAAGTCATGAGAAAAATAATATACCGATTTTTATAACTTCAAGACATATCAAACATGATTAACATATTTTGCCTACCCTACTTTCCCAACATTTCTGTTAAATTCTCAGTACCAAATATCCCTAAATTTACGAATATGTGCCGATCCACACATGACACACTCTCACCACTTGACCAACTTTTTAGGTTAAACTAAAGTGTTTAATTTTGATGTATTATAAATATAAATGCTTTCACAGTATCACTCAATCATGTATTGTTACGTGATCAAAATATATAATTTTAGAGATTGGAAGTAAAAAATTTAAGTTTCAAATTATATAATAAACACACCAGTAAATAAGGGGTCTCGATTTTCTAAAAAAAATAAATATTTTTTTTGTCCCTAACAAAAAACACGGTTCTCACTTTAGTCCCTTACAAAAAAAAATTAGTCTCAAGGTCCCTAGGAAATTCAAAGTGCACCCATTTAGTTGAAATCGTAGTCCCTCACAAATTCAAAAAGACCCATATTAGTCCTCCAAAAAGACTAAAATGGATCCACTTTAAATTTTATAGGGACCAGTCGACTAATATTTTTTTGTAAGGGACTAAAATAGGAACCGTGTTTTTTGTTAGGAACCCAAAAAGATATTTACTAAAAATAAAAATAAAAAGATACTGCACAAAAATTGAAAGATTACCATAGGAGAGAATAACCTTCCTGCAACAAATAGTATAAAACACTTTAATACTAAGAGCAGATAAAAAAATTGAGTAAATACCTTTTTCCATTCTCAATAAATTTTATGATATCTGCTTTTCCTTAGTAAATAAAAAAGTTATTCGTGGTCTTTAAGAAATTTAAAATTTATTTAATCATTTTGAGGAACTAATGTGGATCTTTTTTGAATTTATGAGGGATTAATATGGATCTTTTTTGAATTTATGAAGGACCACGGTCATTTTAAATTTCATAGAGACCACGAATAGCTTTTTTATTTGTTAAGGATTAAAGCAGACATCATAAATTTGCTGAGGACAAAAAATAATATTTGCTCAAAAAAATATTAAGGGTTTGTTTTTTCTAAAGTTACTTTAGATAATTTTATCTAATGTTCATCGAAACAACGTCGTTTTGGGACGGAAATTATGATCATTTTGTAATTTTAATTTTATTTCAGGGTTATAGTAGTCTTTATTATTCTAATTTTTTAATTTTTCAACCCAAAACGACGTCGTTTCGATGAACATTAGATAAAGTTGTCTAAAGTAATATCGAAATTTTTTTTCCCAAATATTAATCCTAAAAAATTATTTGCCACATATATCTAGAGGTGGCAAAGTGGGCGGCCCGCCCCGCCCCGCCCCGTCCCGCCCCGCCAAAAAATGAGCCAGCCCGCCCGCCCCACTTCTGAAAGTGGGCTCAAAAACTCAGCCTGCCCCGCCCCGTTTGGCAGGTTGGCCGGGTTGACCCGTCAACCCGAGTTTATTTTACACTGACCCGCCTCGGCCCACCTATGCCCGCCATCAACTCTCCAAAAAATGAGCCCGCCCCGCCCCACTTTTGAGATGAGTTGAAAAACTCAGTCCACGTCCGCCTCATTTAGCGAGTTAGGCGGATTGGCCCACCGAGCCGAGCCCGATTTGCCGGCTGTACATATATCTAAAAAATAAAAAAGCGCAGTGCAATTACGCGTTTAGGCTTTAGCAGAGTAGAGGATGCAGTTTCTAATCTCCACCGGGATAGGGTTTTGTAGGGTTCATCACACTACTCCCCCTTCCCTCTAGCGATTCAACAAAGTACTGCAATTCCTTCATCTTTTAGTTTTGGTAAGACCCGAAATCGAAAAACATCGACCGTATCTCGCGATGCGGACGATTTTTTCTTCCTCAATTGGAGCTTTGTTTAGATTGTTTTGTGATTTTTTATTTCTTTCTGAAATCTAAATACAAGTGAAGCATATAATTCAATTTTACATTTTTACTAGCATTCATATGCCTTGTGTGAATGAGATTTAATGCAAACGGGGGAAGATCCATGAATGAAGTTTAATTTTTGTGTGATTTTATAACTAATGTGGTCTTTTTTTTCAGTTTTGGTTTGCGTTGAACTTGTTACTTGTTAGCTAGAAGTTGCTTTTTTTTATGCTTATTTCAGTTCCGCTTTATACAATTAGGTAGGTTTGAAGGCTATTTGGGATTTACGTCATGCTGGGTGCATTGCCCATATTGCCTCTTCCTGCTCCTCCCTCTGATGGAAACCTGGGTCCTCTCCCTCTATCGCAAGTGACTGAGGAGAAGAATGATGAGAAACCGTCTAGGGAGGAGCAGATCAAAGCATCGGTTGCTACCCACACTAGAACCATTGGAATTATACATCCACCTCCGGACATTAGAACCATTGTTGATAAAACTTCCCAATTCGTTGCCAAAAATGGGCCAGAGTTTGAGAAAAGGATTATTGCAAATAATACTGGCAATGCCAAGTTCAATTTTTTGAATCCCTCGGATCCATATCATGCATATTATCAGCACCGGCTGGCTGAATTTCGTGCCCAGAACCAATCTTCTGCACAGGAACCTCCTTTGCAGCCTGCAGATTTATCTGTTTCGGAATCAGCTCCGTTGACTGAGAGCAGTGATGCAGTGGCAGCAAAGCCTGATCCCTCTGCCCAATTTAAGCCTGTGAGGAAAGCACTTGAACCACCCGAAGCGGAACAGTATACAGTTCGGCTTCCTGAAGGGATTACGGGGGAAGAACTGGATATTATAAAGCTCACAGCACAATTTGTGGCTCGAAATGGAAAATCATTTTTGACTGGATTGACAAGTAGGGAGGTTAATAATCCCCAATTCCATTTCTTGAAGCCAACGCACAGCATGTTCACATTTTTTACTTCCCTTGCGGATGCATATTCCAGGGTTTTGATGCCTCCTAAGGGGTTGACAGGGAAGCTGAAGAAGAGTGTCTCTGACATGACCACTGTCCTTGAACGATGTGTGAATAGGCTAGAATGGGAGCATTCACAAGAGCAAGCTAGGCAAAAGGCTGAGGATGAGGTTGAACAGGAAAGGGTACAAATGGCAATGATAGACTGGCATGATTTTGTAGTGGTTGAGACAGTAGATTTTGCTGATGATGAGGATGAAGAGCTACCTCCTCCAATGACCCTAGAGGAGGTTGTAAGGAGAAGCAAGGTGTCAACCATGGAAGAAGAGATTATTGAGCCTGAAAAGGAGATAGAAATGGAAATGGATGAGGAAGAGGTTCAACTTGTTGAAGAGGGCATGAGAGCAGCTAGTTTGGAAGACAATGGTGATGGGAAGAAGAATGAAGTCAAGGTTACAGATGAACCTGATCCACCAATGAGGATTGTGAAGAACTGGAAGAGACCGGAGGAGAGGATTCCTACTGAAAGAGATTCAACAAAGTTTGTTGTTTCCCCTATCACTGGTGAGCTGATACCTATTAATGAAATGTCTGAACATATACGAATTTCTCTCATTGATCCTAAGTACAAAGAACAAAAAGAAAGGATGTTTGCCAAAATTCGAGAGACAACCCTTGCTCAGGATGATGAAATATCAAGAAACATTGTTGGACTTGCACGGACTCGTCCTGATATCTTTGGTACTACTGAGGAAGAGGTCTCCAATGCTGTTAAGGCAGAGATTGAGAAGAAGAAAGATGAGCAACCAAAGCAGGTTATATGGGATGGTCACACTGGGAGTATTGGACGCACTGCAAACCAAGCTATTTCACAGAATATTAGTGGTGAGGAGCAAAGTAATGCTGCTAATAGTGAAGCTATGAACCTTCCTGGACCAGCCGCACCTCCTCCTAGACCTGGTATTCCTTCAGTTCGTCCTCTTCCACCGCCACCTGGACTAGCATTGAATCTTCCTCGAGTTCCTCCCAACACAATACAATATTCTTCACCTATCAGTGGTGGCCTTCCAGTTCCTCCGCCCAGACCTCCAGTCATTCCCATGATTCCATCAATGCGGCCAATGCCACCTCAAATGCAGATGACTTCTGGACAGCAGTCAGTTATGGCTGGTCAACCACCCCCAATGCCTCCATCAATTTCTGTGAATGGACCAGGAATTCCCATACCCCCACCACCAGGGTCTCAGTTTACACCTGTTCCAATTCCTCGACCTTTTGCCCCTCACCATGTTCCTCCACCAGCAATGCCTATGATGCCTGCACCACCTTTGCCTCATGGTCTACCACCACCACCACCACCTGAGGAAGCTCCTCCCCCTCTTCCAGATGAACCAGAACCAAAGAGGCAAAAGCTTGATGATTCCCCTCTTATCCCTGAAGATCAGTTTCTGGCTCAACATCCGGTATGGAGTTTACAACAGTCCCTTATTTTTCCTTTAAGTTTTTTCATTAATGTTTTATGTCCTGTTAGTATTTATTTATGGTAATCCTTTCCGACATCTTGTTTTTTTAATCCCCAGGGATCTGTTCGAATCAGTGTATCTGTTCCTAATGTTGATGAAGGAAATCTTAAAGGACAAGTTCTGGAAATAACAGTGCAGTCTTTGTCAGAAACTGTTAGCAGTCTGAAGGAGAAAATTGCAGGGGAGATCCAGCTTCCAGCTAACAAACAGAAATTGAGTGCAAAACCTGGTTTTCTAAAGGATAACATGACTCTTGCTTATTACAATATTGGAGGAGGAGAAACACTTACCCTGACCTTGAGAGAGCGTGGTGGTAGAAAGAGATAACTTTTTCCTCACCTTGATGTTCAAGGTGGTTATTGAAACTTTTGCCTCATTGTGGGGAATATAATTTCTCATACCACTGGTAGACACCAGGATGATATCATCATAAATGTTATTTTTGTAGTCTTTATTTGTAGTTTGTATTTGATGAGGTTTTGAACTTAATATTGTCTTCAAAACTGATGTTAATTTTGGAATACAGATTTTCGCACCTTGACGCTTGTCTCTTGAGGATAAGGGGAACTGGGGAAGTAATTGAGTTCCTTTTGTCTGAAGTGATCAAGTCAATTTATACATCACTAATTACTTGTTTTCTTTTGCGTTGCAGTTGATTCCCCACAAAGTGTACCAACTTGTTTTTATTGGGAGCTCATTTTCTGTTAGGGGGGATCACATACACTATTTATATTTTTTTTATCTACCACGTAGTTGATGTTTATTATTTTTGCAAATATAGTGGAAAGAAATGATTTTGTTATACAACAAAAGAAAGTAGTTATTAGCCTTTTTCCCGCTGGTGTTTTCTGTTTTGCCTACTATTAGACATGTTCAGTTGGACGTTTGGTAAGAGGGCGTTTTTAGCTGCTGAGGATATGCATCTTGTATGGGTTTTAGTCATAAGAGGTTGTTTTGTTTTTAATGCCATTTAAACTTAATGTAGCCAATTCCATATAGTTGCTGGGATAGTTGTATATTTTGATTTTGCTGTTTTGTCATAACAGAAACCCTACTTGGACATGTGGGAAGGTTTCTGCAGCTTATGTGAAATATCTTTGAATGGTACGAGGGAAGTAGAATGGTATAAATTGTTCTTGGCACTCTAATATTTTTTAACATTCACATATTTTACTTGACGTCAAGACAGTTTTTGCCTGCAAAGTCTTGCAGCATGTTGCAGGTTTGATTTCACGCAGAGGTGAGATTTTTTGGGAGTTCTGAGAAGCCCATTAGTTTGTTAGGGTGGTTTTTCAGCAAGCGAGGATGCAATTAATCACAGCAGATATGTGGGTCGTCAAGAAAGCACGACAAAAGGGTTGGAAATTTTAACATCATAGAATTGACTGATAATTACAATTTTTCCATTACCGAAAACAACTAGTTCTGTGTGTTTTTGTCATTTCCATAATAGAAAGTTAAAAATCAGAACAAAAACGCCTTGGGGATGTTCGCTAGTTCCTGTTCTAAAAGCAAAAGAACAAATGTTCTTAGAATTATTTTCACTGAACATCCATTATCAATTAATTTTATTTTATTTTTATTTAAAATTAAAAATTATTGTGTAAAACAGAAATCAAACAGGTTTATAAATTGCTAGTGATAATTACACAATTCTCAAAATTGCAAGTATTGCCATTTAGTGTTATTAGAATTGAATCAGCCAATCCATCCTGTTCAAGCAAGATTCGGACTACCCACCGGTCTGGTCCGATATTTGGATTGAATTCCCTGAAGTCGAACTTGTAAACCGCTTCTGAACGGAATTCAAGTGTATCATTTTCATCTGAATCAAAAAAAAAATTGGACTTTTATGTAAAATGTTCAAAGTTTTGCTACAGTTAGGAATCAAACCTGGGAGTTTCTCTGAGTTAATAACCGGAATACTATTTCTAGTTGTACCAAGTAAAGTTAAATCGATATCTGTGTGCGTACATCAATTATAAACAGATAGTGCATAATAAGTCATGCTACAATATCATTTAGGCAGACTTGGCAAAATATTACTCATGCTGCTTCATAACTATCATGATCTGCTTAATGTTTATGGCGTAAAGCTTTTTGGATCGAGCAATCATTGTCATGATTTTGAACATTCCACTGCTGGCTCATTAAACATTCTCGTAAGAGCATAAAACTCTATTGTAGTTAGGAGTGGATCCTCTCATGTGCTAATTAACATGATCATATCATGTGGGGTAATCATAATCATACATGAGTGAGTTAATGGTGATAAGGGAGGAGAGAAAAAAAATATAATGATAAGAAATTACACAATAGGACTCTAAAAAATGTGTCGTTGCTTCTGGATTTTTGTGACCCAGGTACGTCACCTGACTCTTGGAATCATTCTTCATTGATAGTCACTCTCACTCCCATAAGAGGATCAATTTTTCCCTGATATATATGTTTATTGGGAAATACTACTCTCATTTGTAGTTATTTCCTTTTCTCTCACTTCGAAAATCGTGCCCCTTCTTTTTCTTTTTTTTTTTGCTTTTAAATAGCAGGTCCTACTTGAATTCTCTCTGTAACATAAAAAACTACTCTCATGTTACATGAGAGTAATATTACCCATGTTTATTTTGAATTCTCTCTGTAACATGAGAAAACTACTCTCATGTTACATGAGAGTAATATTACCCATGTTTATTATGTACATATTCAAGCGCACATTCTCCCAAAGTAAACATCATCACTTTTCACTGCTCCTACCTGTCTCAAATATTTCCAATATTTCCAAACATCATTAATAGTCTCTAGTACTTCATTTTGCATAAACAATTAATTTGAACTAAATCTTAAAATATCAAAAATGATTTATCATGGAGATACCAAGGATGAAGATTACATATAACTTTGTCAATAACTTAAGAAATCAACCAAACACACCATCAATTTACTCGAAAACCATAGGGGTTTTTATAACACCCTCATATTTACTCGACGTGTGTATTGCTAGGGGTAAGGATGTCAATTTAAAATATATAGAGTAAATAAATAAATTAGTAAAGATCTATAATTAAGTATTAGACAAAAGAGTGGTGGAATTAGGAAATTTAAAACACCATTGTTTTAACCTTACCCACAAATAATTAAATCGGACACATTAAATGCAAACATGAAATTTATCATGGGTGTTTTGTTAATCAGAGTTGTTACTCGTTGGTTGCTGTCTTGATGAAATGAGTATGCTGTGTGTTTTATATTATGTGGATTCCATTGTTTTCACTAGTTGGTGCAGGTACACTTGAAGACCGAAACACAGAAATGGTTTGGGTGAAGGATCCGTTTATAAATTGTTTTTATAAATTTTTACAAATTACATTATGTACTCTCAGAAGTATATAGTGTAACCTAATATATTTCTGGGAGTACATAATGTAATTTATAAAAATTTATAAATATAACTTTTTGCATAATTTGAGACCCATTGTTTTATTGAGATTAAAGTCTCACCCTTGCGGTTTTATTTTAGGTCCATTAAATGAGGCAAGTGCTGGACGAGAGGACAAGGAGTCTCTTTAGATAATTAATTGATATTTTGGGTTTTGTTTGGACTGTCATGAAAGCTTATTGCATTTTGGTCTGAGTTAGATGTTAATGGACTGCATAACGTAGGCTTTAAACAAGAGAATGTCGTGTCCTATGTAAATGCACTGTGTGTTTTAAAGGTCTTATGTAATGGTTTGTGTTGTGTTTACATTTTGGGCAGAAGTGAAATAGTTCATTTTTTATATATCCATGTCTATTTAGTCTCCTCTACAACTCACCTCCCATTTTTTATTGTTTATTTTATCTATTCTTCCTTCTTTTTTTTATATAATTTCATTATTTGATCTAAGGTGATATTCCATTAATACTTACTATATTTCTATTAATAATTTAATTAACACTTAACCTTATTATTACTATTAGTAAAACATGGATCTCATGGTAACTGAGCTATTGAGTCTCAAGATATTTGTTGGAATTATTTTGTCTCAATTAGGGTTACCATTCTTACTGTATTAATGAGCTAGAACATAGTAACAATACTATACTAATACTTGGTCTAATTAGTATAAGTAAGACTACTAAATCACATGATACACCATATCAACGTAATATCATAAAGTTATAATTTCAACTACTTCCAGTTGCATTAAAAAAGATGCATTGGTTTCGTTATGCCGAATGCGGGTACTATTGTTACCTGATATTCGGACCCACATGTCAATACCTCTTTCGTTACCTGATGTTAGACATCTCAATCTAAATTTTAGTAAATTCACCGAATTACATCGACGTATTTCAAAATTTCACGTCGAAGTCAACTTGAAATGTTCTATATGTACAAGACTAAATACTTCGAACTGTTAAACACTATCTTCTAATTCTGGTGGCTGTTGCTTTGGATTGGAGATGCTGTCGCTTCCCACTGGGCAAGCCACTATCACTGACACTTCCTTCAAGAGTATCATGAACGTCAGAATATTCTTCTGTTCGTGAATGTAAGGGAATAAGATAACTATCATCCTTGGTGCTTCTCGTACGCTCCTCATGGCGTTTCACATTTTCTGATATCTGATGGAAGGTTTTGTTAATCTTTGCAATACCCCTTTCAACAGGTTCTACCACATGTGAAACCGTAAACTTCATGTCATCAACAATCTGAAACATAAAGACAGTAGATAATAACAGCAATAGTGAATTTGACAGAGACATATGAGAAAATTTAAAGGTTGAACTGTTTTAAGGGTTGATATCTCACAATTTCACCACTTCCAACAACCACATCCCGAACACTATGGGTGATTTTCATAGGCTTTTTTGGCTCATTATGTCCTCCCAGCCGCATTCTAGTTGAGCGCTCAGAGTCTCGAATCTCCTCAGGGTCAGGAGCTGTTCCTAGAGATGCATAGTTAGCCATCACTGCTACATTACGGACACACCTCTCTCCCCTTTTGTAAGGTACGGCAGGGAAGACATAAAGGTGCACAACAGCAGCCACGCCCATCTGTTAACAAATTTTAAGATAGGAAACCACATGAAAAAGGCCCATCTGATTGAAGACTTCTTTCAAGTAAACAACACTCAGAATTTATAGTTTAAAGTTTAAACATAAGATAACATACTTCAAATGAAGAAACCTGACTTGACATAAAACTTTATACATACAACAGCTGATCAGTATAGCCTTAAGTAACCAAAATGAGCCGGTCTCAGTTCAAAAGCAAAGCAGGCATTAGTTGCAAAAGATGCTCCAAAAAGAAAAGATTACAACCTAATATTTGATATTTGAGGTTTCAGAATGATTATTTTATGAACTCCTTAAGTCATTCTGGAAACAAGTCCCGTCTATGCATGTGCCTGATCCTCAGACATTCAGGATCAGGGATAAATCTATATAACATTAAACAAGTCCATCCCTCATGTCTTAATTATCCTACTACAAATCATTGATTACGCAGAAGTGTGTTGTCAGCTTCTGGAAAAGACAGCTTATGTTACATCACACTTTTAGCAGAAAAAGATGAGTAAATAATAAGCATATGTTTAAATGCCTTCATATGTAATACAGATATACAACAGTCAACCTGATATATCCATAAAGGCAGAAAAATACCCACAATATCATATATCGATATTTGTGACAAGAACCTGCAGCTTTCATGCATAGATCACCACATGATAAAAAATAAAGTTTTAACTCGTTCGAATCACATTGTTGCAAATGATCGAATATATATTAGTACACCTTAAAATCTAAGTAATTTAATAATGCAGTATTAGACAAGACAATCAAAATTATAACAAGCCCAAATGGCTTACCTCTATACAGATGATATAGTCTTGTATCCGTGTTTTCAACTCCTGAGCCAACGACCCCCTAAGTGCTCCCACATAAAAAAGAAATGCAATAGCCACACTTTGCCACCATGTCAGGAAGACAATTGACTTAAAAGTTAGAAACTTTGCCAATGGTTTGATTGGTTTCAACTTATCTTTAATGACAGAATAGAACTGTACAAGGCAATATAGGGCCCATGTCTGACTAAAATTAAGAATAAGTGCCAAGTAGGGATACCTGCCAAGCACAACAGAGAATCAGATTACAACAGGGGTCATAAAAAATACATCCCTCACCCCCCCCCCCCCCTCTCTCAAAAAAGAAGAAGAAGAAAGAAAAACGAAAAAGTCATCAATATTGACACTTTCAATTGGTATTCTTTTCAAGGACTAGCTCTCCTAAAAGCTTAAGCTATTATGGAGAGATCATGAATGATTTTATCTCTAACATGTCCCCCTCATGCAAGATTTCTTTAGGTTTGAAACATAGACAATGCACCGACCTGACAATGATGACATTAAGGACTAAACTTCTAATCACTTGGTTCAATACCAAGTCAAAGACCAACTCTCCTAAAACCTCAAGCTAATAGGTGAAAAACAAGAATAATTTTCCTATCTCTAACAATAAACATGTAAACAAGATCAAGACAAGCCAATATAATCTTACCCATATTTCCATTCAAACTTCCCCTCTCCATAAACCCCAAAAAACTGGAGGATCATTGCCAACAATGCACAGATCATCTTCAGTATCATCTGGAATGTAGATTTTAGTAAGCAATGAGAAAGACATGGATTCTTCTTTACATAGAAATTCCAAGTTGGAGAGGGGGGATGGAATCACTCAATTTACGAAAATCATACATACATATTGTACAATGCCAATTTTCACAGATTGATAGAAATCAGGACCAAGATACCAATCCCTTAAGATGAGATTTAAGGGAAATGGATGCTCTACAACTCCATATGCATATGCTTCTTTTAGAAGAGGAATGCTAGAGTCCCTTACGCTCAAACTTTCCATAAATTGAATTGTTTTGTCCTCACCACCTATAAGCAAGCATATAGGAAGTTGTATTAGAAAGCATGACACTATAACAAAATTCAACCTACAAATAAATTTCAGATGCATCATATCCTCTCTTAGTGACGATTTATAACATTCAGGCCTCTCACAGTCACAGATTTCATAAATTTTGATGAAACTTGAGAGATGAGGGAAGTAGGAGAGGAAGAAAATTTTATTAAAAGATCTGACCTTTTTGCATTTCTGGAAAATATATATACATACGAGCAATAGCAATTGTTAGAGTAGTTATTAGAATAGTTCAAAGTATATATTGGGCTTAGTTCATTAGATCTTTTAGTCTCTTTTACAAACTCTTACGAACTATACTATGTACTACGGGTAGTACATACTAAAATGTATTACCCGTAATACATAGTATAGTTTGTAAATATGACTCTACCCCTATATATATATATATATATATGTGGGTAGGATATTCTTACGCCGGTGTAAGAATAAGAAGTCTTACACCAAATCTTGATCATTGATTTGTTTGCATCTAACGGCTCATATATCTAATAACTTGGTAAGCTTCGTTACTTCTTAGGGATTGAAGTAGCACAGTCTAGACAGGGCTTTTCTATCTGTCAAAGGAAATATGCCTTGGATATCCTAGAGGAGACTGGTATGTTGGGGTGTAAGTCGGTTGATACACCCATGGATCCTACTATCAAATTACTACCCGGACAGGGAGAGTCATTATCTGATCCTGGACGTTATCGGAGGTTTATTGAGAAGTCAATTATCTCATTGTGACGGCCGGACATTTCTTTTGTTGTTAGTGTCGCTAGTCAGTTCCTTGATTCTCCTTGTGATTCTCATTGGGATGCTGTTGTGAGGATCCTTCGGTACATCAAAGGAGCACCAAGGAAAGGTTTATTATATTCAGATCAAGGAAATACATAAATGTGTGGTTATTCATATGCCGATTGGGCAAGATCACCCTCGGATAGGCGCTCTACTTCAGGCTATTGTGTCTTCTTTGGAGGAAACCTGATTTCTTGGAAAAGTAAGAAACAAATTGTTGTTGCTCGATCTAGTGTAAAGGCCGAGTATCGTGCAATGGGAGTTTCTATCTGTGAGCTAATCTGGTTAAAACAGTTGATTCGGGAGCTCCATCTATGTGAACAAAAACAACTCATGACTCTCATTTGTGACAATCAAGTTGCGCTACATATATCCTCTAATCCTGTATTTTATGAGAGAACCAAACATATAGAGATCGATTGTCATTTCATTCGAGAAAAGATTCAGTCAGGAGAAATCAAAACAGCATTTGTCAACTCCAATGATCAACTCGCGGATGTCTTCACTAAAACTCTTAGGGATCCTCGGGTTGAATACATTTGTGGCAAGCTGGGTGCTTACAATATATATGTTTCAGCTTGAGGGGGAGTGTTAGAGTAGTTATTAGAATAGTTCAGTGTATATAGTAGGTCTTTTAGTCTCTCTAAATAAAGAGCTCTTGTACATTAAAACACACTATTATTCAATATACAGTTATTCTTTAATCTCAAGTGCAACAATTAATGAAAATCATATGGGTATACGATCCGTTTGACATACCTAAGCAAGCTATGAAGTATCTCTCAAAGCAGTATAATGCAAAAGCTTCATAGCATTCCCGGATAACTTCACTATTAAATGAAGCACTAGAATCCAATAGTGACACATACTGCACCATAAAAATATCAGAACTTAAGAATGTGAGAATGCACTATCACATTCTATTAGAAAAAGAAACATCAAAGAAAACGAAGTAAAAGATTAGGAAGAGTAAGGAAAAAGAGGATTAAGAATTGGATTACGTATAGCAAGTACAAACACTAATAATAATGTTTGTTGCAACTCAGTATTGATGGTCCTTGTGGGAAAATAAAGTAGAGCTTTTTTTAGTACGAGTCTTGCAGTAGTAGTAAAGTTGCTTCTTTGTGAATAGAAGGTCACAGGTTCGAGTATAGAAAACAGGCTCTTTGCAAAAATAGAAAAGTTAGGTTGCATACAATCAACCCTCATCCCGACCCTCACAAAGTCGAGGATCTTTGTGCACTAGGATTTTTTGCATTATCAATTGAATGGGAACAAAATCCGGGAGTATATTATGAATAAAAAGGAAGCAGTTGTTTATTTAAGTATCAAATATCAATTAGTTATACATGTAACCATTTTTTAATGATAAAACATTCTCAGAATTACCAATGCCCCTGTAAAGAATCAATTCAACACAAAAGTTTAAGCTTCTTAGGTGAAGGTCACATTAATAATTTTATATTATATTATTCTAACTTGACTCCTCATACAAGAGTTCATTGAGTTTGAAAGGTGGACAAAGCACACACCCACCCACCTATGCTAATAAACTCCACAACTTTTAATTATTTATTAATAAAATGGATGGCGGTGAGGATCGAATTCATGATCACTTGGCCACGAATACTCTAATACTATGTAAAGAATCAATTTAACCCAAAAGCTTAAGTTGTTAGATGAGGACCACATTAATATATTATATTTCTCTAATGACCCCCAACATAAAGATGCAAGTGAACAATCCATAATGGGTGGTAGTGACACGGTGGATGTAAGTTGCATCTCTCAGGGACAGGACATGGGTTTGGTCATTGAGAAAACTCCAAGGGGGAAGGGCCATACTGTTTCACTTCCGGCCCAATGGTAGTTGGTATCCCAGAGCACGCACTCACCATGGCATGGCTCATGACCACCAAAACTCCCTCCCTATCTTAAGAAATTGTACCCAAATAAAAGAAAAAAAGAGAGATGCAAGTGAATAAGTTAAAAATGCAGTATTTTAGTTTGACAATCAAATAAACTGATGCATGAACTCTTCCACCGATCAAATAGTTCATTAAGCAAAGTAAAGTTGAAAAACTAAGTCAACGGCATGTAATAAAAAGCTCATGAGATAGCAACTAAGTTTAGCCAATAACGAAAATTGAAAACAATTGCAAGATGAAAATTATTTAGATTGCATACCAAAAAAGAAAAAGAAAAAAAAGGGAAACATGGATGCACATTAGGATGAATGTCATAAATCCAATTAATAAATGCATTATAAAGAGAGCAGATAGTACTAGGCCATTTAGTTAGTGTCTCTTACTGATTCCAATGCATAAACAGGAACCATTAAAATGATGCCAATCAAAAACTTCTGTTCCTGAATAAAATAAAATTAAAAAAAGAAAAAAAACAGAATTAGCTATAGACAATACTATGAATGGAAAGGGAAATAAAATACTGAGGTGAAACAGCGAAGTCAGTTAAAAGGGAAAACAGGATGTACCTCAGGCTGATTATAGGAAGCTAGATGCTCGAATATTAAATAAATGGAGAGAACAAGAGCAACAAGCACAAATATACTTGAACTAAAGACTGTCCAACTGACAGTTCCTGTGGTCTCCACCCCTAGGTTTTGGGGCCACATATTACCTGCTCTGCTAGTAGACTTTACGGTGTTAAAAAGAAATGTAGAAGAACAGAGAATACCCGTCAAACCCAGTCAACATAAATTGGTTGCAACAAATGGTGTGCCCTTCATCAAATCTATGATTTTCTATATTCGAGGGGATGATCAGAAAGCTTTTATTTTATTTAAGTTTCTCTCCTTCTGTCTTGACTGTGTGGCAACCAGTAATCTGTTACTATTTGACACAAGAAAACCACCCTCCCGGTTCCCGCTATAACCACACTTCCTCAAATTTAATATGCAAATGCAGAACTAGCACATTCCACCAATAGAAGATAAGGATGTTTGCTTTTGATACACAGAAAATCCAAATTTTGATATGCCATGAATCCTGCATTGACAATCAGATGATTTAAAAAAACTTCGACACTATCAAAAACATAAAAGCTTCGATATGTTCTTTTGCACCATAAGAATTTTTTGAAGCATCATTCAGCCTCTACACATAAAGATATTAAACCCATAACTCCAAATCAGTATATATTTGATCACACACACAAGCAGGTCCACCAAGAATTCCCAACAGCAACAAATCTTCAAATTGAGGGTAGGGGATTTGGATGCATAATCATTTGATGACTTTTGTTCCGCCTAATCAAATAAAGACGGTAAGAAAACAAAATAGTAAACTCAATCCATTCCTGAATTATTTAGTTACAAGCCTTATCGTTAGGATTTTTATTCATCTCCAAATCAATTATGAAACACAGACATGAAAATTATGAAATGGAAAACATCAATTATCTTCCATTCTTAGTCTATGAATTTCTGTAGGCATTAGTTCATTCAGAAATCATAAAAGGTACAAACCACAAGTGATTTCGATCAAAAAAACCACACATTCGTCGCCAGCAAAATATGTTAAGAGGGGAAAACGAAAAGCTAAAACCCTAGGCCTAGAGTATATGAAGAAAGGGAAAACACATACACTGCGTGCCGAAAAAAACTCAGTGCAATAAGATAACGATACTTATGATACCTTGCAGCAGTCATCGAAAAGAAGAAGAGATTTCAATACTGTAAGCAACTTTTTCTTTCTTTTTTCAGGAAAAGTCGAGATGGGTATACCTACCCAGTAGAATGGAAATTTGCTTTGGCAGTTGGAAAACACTAATCATAAAACTCGAAAAAAGAGATTATTATATTAAATGGAATAGTGGTGAATGAAATTTGATAAAATATATCATGGAAGGAAAGCTAATGAAACACAATAAAATTTATTTTATTGTGTTTTGTTTGATGGTTTATCATTTTTATTATTTTATTCACTTTTTAATTAATGAAATAGATTTTCTTTTTTATTATAAATATTTAAAAATAATATAATAACTTTATTCTATTTCATTTCATTTCATATTATTAAAAAATAATGTACATAATTACAAGTTAATTTCTTAAAAAAATTTGACAGGTATCAGTTTTTTTTATAAAAAAAATTCTTCAAAAAAAATTGGTGAATGAGAGCCGTTTATTTTCAGTTATGGCAAATTTTTGTCGGAGAAGGATATTCTAACAATCAATTAGTGTAATTATCAATGTTACTACCAATCAATTTCACCGTTAGATTGTTATGTTGATCTAACGGTTATATTTATTTTTATCTTTGTATGATTATGATTCTTCATATTTGATATTTTATATTTATTTTCACATTTATATGGTTATGATTTATCATATTCAATGTTTTCATATTAAATATGGGGAATCATAATCATACAAAGAAGAAAATAAATATAACCGTTGGATCAACATAATCGATCTAACGGTGAAATTGATTGGTAGTAACATTAATAGTAACACTAGTTGATTGTTACAATATCATATCCTATTTTTCTTAGGTTAAATTGCAATCTTGATTATATGTAACCACTGTAGATCATTATATCCGTTGTGCCCTAACCTTTCTTTTATGGATTGAATAGATTGAAGGAAAAAATATTTGTCAATTTAAATGATATAACACTCTGTCCTTTTAAGAGAGAGACAGACAGAGAAAAAAAATTTATTTAAATTTTAAATTAAAAAAACCAACAACTTTCTCTCTCTCATGATTTCTATTTTTCTGTGTCTATCTCTCTCCTAAAATGACATAACTTATGTCATTTAAAATGACAAACACCAAACCCTAGATTGAAACACAAAATTCTTACATATTAATTTTAAACTAATTAATTTTCTTAAAGGATTAATGTTTCTATAACTTTATCTCATATATATACATGTAGGTGAAAGGATCCCACTTTTTCTTTTTCTCTATTTTTTCTTACAAGGCTCCACCTATTTGTATGTGCGCCACATTAAACTCTTTTTAAATTTACATCTTAGATTTGTAAAATTATATTTGAATCAGCTAAAAAAAAGTTGTTATTAAAAACAAAATTTATTATTTTTAAACAAACGTTCATCTCGTTCTATTGTCATCCTTCTTTATAAAGACTCCCTAAACATATATCATTCATTCTATTAGTGATCAAATATCACTTTGGATTTGAGAAAAGTAGAGAGCTACATTCATCAACATGGCAACTAGATGCTTAGCCTTGGCATTCTTTGGTGGTTAGTGTCACTCTCATGCTCGGGAACCTACTAAGCATCTCCCCATAATGTATAACTAGCGTTCCACCCCTTGAGAACCTATGTGAAAGGTTGTCCAAAAGACAGGGCCAAAAATTCGGCCATCAAAAGGGTGTCATGGGGTCTTAAAATGTGATGAAATCCTCTGCTTATGCAAATTTGTTGACCCAATGGTTGAGAAACAGATCAGCATGGATAAATCGGTATATGTAGTCGGGACTTGTGGAAGCAAAGTTCCTGCTGGAATGCAGTGTGGAAGTAATTAAGTTTATATCTTTCACGTGATTTAATTTCTTTCTAAACCTTTTGATTCATGTTATGCAGAACATTATCTTCCCCTTTACGTACTATATCTTGATGGCAAATAGTTTTCTCATCATGGATCTCGAAATTTTTTTTTTAAGTATATATTTCTGAAAATACATAATTAAAAGAAAATCAACAATAGTTTTTTAATTATGTACTCCTGAAAGTACATAGTTAAAAAAATTAACTTTAATATTATAATTATGTACTACCAAGAGCACATAGTTAAAAAATGGTTGCAGGAATTCCTGCAACATGAGAAAAGAGAGACCCTATCTTGATTTATGTACTTTTAACTGTTGAGATTAAAAAAATTTAGTTTTTAATATGCATGCACAATGAAATATATATAAAGAAGTTTTAAAATTTGAATGTTGGAATCAGTGTTATTAAACCCGACTTGATATGGTCGGGTTGATCCAAAAACCAGTGAATCGATGATCTAACCCGTTTGAGTTAGCCAACGGACTGGTTATGCAATAGACTCGGTGAGAACTGGTTTGACTTAGTTGATTTTTGTCAAAATTAGTGACCTGGTAGATTTTTATTAATCCGGTCGAATCATGCATTTTTTTAAAAAAAAAAAAAAAAACTTAAAGCGAAACAACATAATTTTTTTGGCAACGACCAAATGCAAAATCTCTAAATTGCAGTGCACCATTTTAATTCACAAATACAAATAACAATCACATGAAAAAACAAAACACGATTAAATATTTACCATTGAGAAATGTCAAGTTGAAATGAAAAGTGAAAACCCTATCAGAGTTGGATTGAATTTTGAAAGCATATAATACATGGGGGAAAACTAATTTGAAATTTGAATAATAATCCTATGGATAATTCTTTTTTTTTGTAACTAGAGAGGGCCTAACCACAAAAAATTGAATTACAAAGATGCAAGAATTATATAGTTATCAAAAACAAGTAAATTCCCAAACAGTAAACTGATCATTTAAGGAGGAGGCTGATTGGAGATTATAACATCATCTTCTATGCCAAGACCTTGTTTGGCAAATCAATTCTTGTATTTGCTGCCGAACATAATTATGGATAAATATAATTATGAATTTAATTTGCTAAACATAGAAGTTATCATAAAGAAATTTTAAGTATAAAATATAAATTTATATACGTCTCAGTCATGCGGTTCAATTAGTGACTCATTAATTAAATTAGAAACTCGATAACCCGATACTCAATCAAGTAACTAATAATTCACTGACCTGGTATTCGGATCGAGACGAATATAATAACATTTGTCGGAATACTAAAAATACTATAATCTTGAAGTTGTAACATTTGGTACTTATTTATTTCTGAGTATTAACTCTATCATGTGACTTCTTTAGGTTATACTGTTCCACCCTACCACAAGGCTCTCCTCCTAAGGCATGAACTGCGACATTCAGGACGCATGCAGTTATCTTGATATAAATAAGGCAAACATGGCGCGCTTCTTTTATTTGCCTCCTTTGTATTTTCCTCGTTTGAGTTAAGAGTTAAATATTAAATGTTGATTGAATAAAGTCACAATTAGTTCTGCTGTTCCTATTTATTTTCTTTATTTGTTTTTTTCCTGTTGCTATTATCCGTTCACTTTATTTTATATTTTTTAAAGACAAAGGTATAAACTTGTCTTGTCTTTATAATTAAATCCCCACTTACCTCAAGCATAAAAATCTTCGCTTGCTTCAAACACATGAGTAATGAGCGGTTATATTTATTTTTCCTTGAATAATTAATAACCACCTTGGGATACATCAAATTGTTGGAGTGTCCAAGGCCTTATAAACTCCACATTAGTTGCACATACAACTAATGTGGAACTATATATCTCAACATGTCCCCTCACACGAGAGCCCATTGGGCTTGAAGAGTGGACAATGTAACAGACTCAGCCTACATGTGCTAAGAAACGCCACAAGAGAAAGTGAGGGGCGGCGAGACTCTAAAACCATGTAAGTTGAATCACTTAAATCGAATTTATGTAAAAAAAACATAATAAATATATAAATAAAAGCAATATAACAAACAAAGTAATATGTCAAGTGGTTAACATTTCACTTCCCTTAAGTACCAAATTTGCATCCCAGATATGCGATTGTGATGGAATATTTTGCTATAATTTTCAAAAATCGATATATGACTAGTTCTTAACGAGATTGTATACATAACCGGTTAATTGGCTTAAGCAGACTGATTAGTGGTCCGATTGTTAATTGGCTTAAGCAAACTGATTAGTAGTTCGATTTTCGGTTCAACCAATTTGATCGATCAAGCCGGAGCAATTTTAATAACAATGTACAGTCACTAAACCATAATGGATTAACCTGCCAAAAAGAGCTCAAGTTATACATAAACAAGCTCTCTTTTAATGCATGAGCTTGTTATCCGAAGCTGGCAAATTTTTTAAAGCAGGTGATTTTAACAATTTTGGCCAATTTGGATAATAGAACTTGATAAAAAATCAACCCACCTAAAAGTTTAAGTTGATAAATGAAGGTTCATAAGTGAATTTTATATTTCTTTAACGTATCCCTTTACACAAGAGTTATTTGAGTTTAAAACGTGAATATTGCATATATATTTTTTTGTTATATTTTGTACTAACTTAATTTCATTGAAAAATGAAATAAAATGAGGTTTTTACATTTCTATGTGTATAATTAGACTGAACTTTAATATCAATTTTTAAATATCAGTTTTCAAAAGTTATTTTTAAAATTTTTTAGTATAAAAAAAGTTAGTGGTGCTTTTATATTTTATTTTATTTTTTAAGTGATTTTCGGATTGATTCTCCGTGATGATGCTTTGGGAACGCTCGTTATACCTCCTCAAATAAGTTTTTTCCCAAAAATTATTAAATTGCAAATCTCTGAAAATTATGATATTACCATATTAATACTTCAAATAATTTTTTTTGGTAAGAATAATTCAAATAATTTTATTACTAATTAGTTTGTCAAACATTTGAAATGTAACTGCATTTCTTCATAATTAATTAATGGGTCCCCAACTTCTCATGTTGCTGCAAAAAAATTTCTCTTTGCCACCAATTACAACTATGTACTAAGGTAATATATAGTTATAATAATAAAGTTATTTTTTTTCTCTCTCTTTAGATATTATTGGCTAACGTGGCAGAAAGAGAAAAAATAATTTTACCATTATAACTATATATTACTCTTAATATATAATTAAAGTCGACTGCAAAAGAAAAATATTCTGCAGTAAATTTCCCTTAATTATTACGTGAGGCCAAATTGTAGAGACTTTGCTGTAAATATTCTGCACTTTTTTTCGCTCCTCTATCTAGTGGTAATGCATATATATTTGGTTTGTTTAACATCTTTAAAATAGCGGCAAATTACATAGAAACATGGTCTTTTTCAAAAGACGTTTTTGTCCATTTCGTCTCTCGTTCATTCATTTGTTCCTCTTTTGATTTTTTGAATCCAAATCAATTTCCCAAATCATTTCAAATATCTATTTGCAAAATTTTGGGTCTCGAGGAGAGAAAAAGATAGAGCAACACTTAATATAGTCTCTGTGGTTGTGAATGGGGGAGGAGGTGAAGATGAACCACAATGATGGAGAGCAGAGCAGGTTTTAAAATGGGAGATCAGTCTCCCTACCACCCACATCATACATTTGCTCAGTTTTTCCCCTCAAAATATGGTTCAGGCCTAGGTGTTTCGTTTCTGAAAAATATGGTCTACTCCCAAAAGATTTTAACTCCGTTTGATAGAGAAAGAATTTTTTTTTTATTCGAGAATCATAATTTCTGATAATATGATGGGAAAATGAGTTTGTAGGGATGTTATCAAAAAATTATTTGGTAGGCCAAAACATTCTCGGAATATTAGGTTAATTTTCTTGACACTATGTTTGGCTATTTTTTCTAAAAAAATTAATTCATATTTTTTCATTATCTGGTATTGTTGAAATACCACCGTCTAGATGATATTTTCTCTGGTGATATTTTGGTTTAGAAAATACACACAAACCAGAATCCCGAACAAAAATTCTCCAATATGCTACCAAAAACGAGATTCTAAGAAACTCACCCTCACTTTCCCATGTATCTAAAAATATTCTTTCAACCAAACACTATATTAGGAAAAAGTTCATAAACCTACGTATGATTTACTCTTTTATAAGTTACATTCCTATCTTTTTTTCTTATCAATTATTTCACCGTAGTTTTTTTTCGTCCAAGTTCTACTTTTAACATAACCAGTAATTAAGTTAACTTGCATATTTGACCCTAATTTAATGTTACTATTTCAATTAGGCGGTTAGTCGTGAGGACATAAGATTTCTAGCATTTTTATATGTGAAAAATTGTGTAATTTTAAAGGATATATAATTGTGTCATTTTAAGAGAGAGAAATAGATAGATAAAAAAGGAGAGAGAGTTGACAAAAAAATAAAAGTGTGAGTCTCACCTCTTTGTGAAATGACATAAGTTGTGTCATTTAAAAGGATAAATACTTTTCCCTTTTTATATTTTGAGTCATCAATTTTGATGTAAAAATGGTTTAAAAACCACCGGATTTCAATTCACGTTGCAAACAAGTTCAATTTGGGTTGTTTGATTCTTAAATTGAAGATAACTCAAATGATGAAATACAGAAAAAAATAACATCAACAACAGGAATAAAATAATGAAATGCAAAATATAAATAGGGAGAAAACCAATTTAGAATCAAATGTCATCTCAATCAAAGTTATTACCAAAAATTCTTTTCTTTTAATTGATCACATTTTGTGTATAATGAAAAAAATGTCTGAAGAAATTCCTTCCAAATATTACAGTATTATCATTCTTAATTAATAAAGTTGTAACTCAATTTGCAGCACCTCAAAATTTAAAGACATTGTTAATGTTGATGTGATGGGTTAAATCTATTATAGGTTATCACTTTTCTCATCCTGAGCTTAACTAATAAAATTATATATATTATGTTTACCCAAAAAAAATTATATATATTACTGGTAATGCTTGGGTTGTCTAACTTCGTAAATGAACATCCCCAAATAATTTTATTCACAAAATTATCATTTTATTTTAATATTTATTCCTACAAATTATAAAAAATATTAAAAGGACAGTAATGAAATTATTAGTTGTTTAGTATTTTTTTTATTTAAATAGGAAGAAAACACATCACCAAGAGGGGTAAGATGATGAAATTACCAAAAAAAAAAGATGATAAAAATGTAAATTATATTTTGGGAGAAAAAAAAATTTGTGATTAAATGTCATCTTAATCAAATTATTACCAAAATGTCTTTTCTTTTAATTGATCAATTTTTTTAATAAATAAATATTTGAGGAAACCCGTAAACTAATATAGTCTTTTAAATATTTTTATTACCAAATTAATATCTCAGATATTTTAAATTTCATACCACATCTGTAATGAATCTATAGTTGAATTGACACCATTCCAAAATTTAAAGACTTGGGTGCAATGTTGCTGTTATGGGTAAATATAAATAAAATGCTTAAATAACAATAAGGCCAATTAATTACTTAGTACTTCTTTAAAATAATACTAAAAAAACACCTTCAGCAAGAGGAATAAAATAAAACAAAATTAAAATATATGTAGGGAGAAAAACCGATTTAGAACTATATGTTATTTTAATCAACTTATATCCAAAAAAGTCTTTTCTTTTAATTGATCACCTTTATTTCTTATAAATGAATGCTTGTGGAGTTCCCTAAGTAAGACAAGAAAGATTATATTGTTACTATATTAGATATTTCTAAAAAAACTGTTATTAAATTAAGGGAAAAATATCTCTTCTTGGAGATAAAGTTATTTCCAGTGAGCCCAAAACGACGTTATTTTGCGTTGTAAGATTAAAAAATTATAATAATAAAGACTAATGGAATAAATTAGAATTAATAAAACACCTTGATTTCCGGTCCAAAACACGTCATTTTGGGCTCACCGGAAATAATTTATCTCTACTGACTGGAGAAATCTTTTACCCTTAAATTAATTACTTGAATATTTAAAATGCTGCCATATTTTTTTTTTTCAAAAAAAAAGTTCAAAAATCCCTATGATTTTGCTTTGAATCATTTATACTCCAATATTTTTTTTAATCACTTATTCCCTATTAATATTATGTTTTTACCTAAATTCATCCTTAACACTGTTAGAAACTTAATTAATATATCTACTTTACCCTTCAAAGAAGAAAAAAATAGATTGAGGGCATAAGAAATAAAGAATAAGACAAAAAAATGTTGGAAGCTTACAATACTTACAGAAAAGACTAAAAGTAAAAGAAAATAAAAATAAAAATCAAATATGTTTAAATCAAAAAGGAAAAAATAAATTAAGAACACAAAATATAGAAGAAAAAATAAGATCAAATATATTAAATACTTACAACAATAACAAAAAAGACTAAAAATAAAAAAAAATCCAAATCAAAAAAAAAATAAATAGACCGAAGACAAAAAAGAAATAGAAGAAAAAATAAGACAGAAAATAAAATAAAAAATCATTATTATAAGTTTCCAACATATTAATTTTTTTTTTTTTGTCTTCAATCTATTTCCTTCTCTCTTTTTTAGATATGTTTGGTTTTTTTTTCTTGTATTTTTATTTTGGGAGAACTATTTGTTATTTTAAATGACACAAGTCTATATCATTTTAAATGAAACTACTGTGTTGGGATATCTTTATCTCTTCTCCACAATACTCTCACTTTTCTCTCCTCCTAATTTTATCAAAATACAGCAATTTCACTTAAAATGACACAAATTTATGTCCTTTAAAATAATAAACACTTGTCTACCAAAAAAGAATGACAAACAATTTTTCATTTATTTTTTTCACTTTTAATCTTTTTAATTACTGTTAAAAGAATGGAAGAAAAAATAAGACAAAAAAATAAATAAAAGAAAAAGAAGTTAGTGTTGTAAATTTCCAATGTATTTAGTTTTATTTATTTTTCAATTTCTTTTTTGTCTTCAATCTTTCTTCTTTTTTTTTGTATTCAGAATATTTTCTTTTATATTTTTTACTTTTAGTCTTTTTTGTTACTATTGTAAATTTTCAGTAAATTTGGTATTTTTTTTTCTTCTTCATTTTTTTGTCCTTATTCTATTTTCTTCTTTTTGATTTAGACATTTTTAATTTTTTTCTATGTTCATTTTTTATATAATCTTTTCTATAAGTGTTGTAAGTTTCTAACATATTTGATCTTTTTTTTATGTCCTCAGTCTATTTTTTTTTCTCTAAAAATGATAAAATAGGCAGATTAATTTAGGATGAGTTTGGAGGGAAAAATTATAAGGGGATAAATGATTAAAAAAATTATTTAACAATAAATGTTTATGATACCTCCCATGTGATGCACTCTATATTCAATTAATTACGTATGGGTAAAAATAAATTTGATAATATTTAACAATTTTACCTCTGTAACTTACAAAGTCATTCTCCTTTTATAAATTCAAAACAGTGAAGACTTGAACTACCGTCCATTGTATAGGAAAATTGAAGTTCCAAAGCAGAGACTATGGAGCGTGGAAGCAACTTCTTTCTCTATGATCATCAGGCAAAATCAAGCTCTGGTGAGCACTCTAAATATCAAAAAACTACGTGTGTCTGTTTGTACACACACTCATGATTCAATAGCCAGATATGGTTTCAATTTATTTTTTAATACTAGAGTTTTTGTTTCACTCCCCCCCCCCCCCCCCCCCCCCCCCCCCCCCCCCCCTTAACTCTCCTATTCTCTCAAGGCAAGATTGTTTCTCTCTTTGAGCGTGAGTGAAACAAAGATGTAAAACTTTTTGGGTTAAATTGATTATGCATTAGTTATTAATATTCTTTGATGGCTTTAACAGCTCTGCTGTTACTGTAGATCATAAAATTTGTAGCAGGATTTGGCTCCGTGTCTTAGTATAAATATATTTGTTGTAACTTATTTCATCTGCAGCAACAGCAGAAACGAGAACCCTTCTTTGATATAGAAATACTTGTGATTATATTTGGAGTCTCTATTCAAAGACGTGATATGCATAATGCATGTATATATTGATTTTATGAATCAGATAATGAGCACGAACATTTTATGTGTTTTGTATGTCTTTTTTTCTTTTATTTATTTTTATATTTGTCTAGATATATTTACCCTTTAAATGTAGAACAAATTTAATCTGCTCCTCTCAAAAATGTAAGTTGTTCTATTTTTAAAAGTAATGCTTTCCTCTGTGAGACTCCTTGGTTTATTTATCTCTTTTCTGCTATTTCTTCATGGATGGATCCTCTTACATTAAAAATTCACATTATCTAATCAGGTATGAATATTTTTGTTTATTTCTCTTTTTATATGCATTAAATAGATGAGATCTATTCAATATTAATGAAAAAGAAAATACATAGACACACAAATTTCACCTCATTCTTTCATATAAATTTTAACATGTTCATATATTGTTAAATTTCTCTTCGTTCAGGCATGAATTTTATTTAGATTTTATTTTATAAAACAATTTTAAATTGGCGAATTTAAAGAATAAATTCAAGCATACCGAAGGAAAGATGTAATTGGAGAAGGTGGACCTTAAAGAAGGTCCCACACTGAATACAAAAGCAAAAAGGTGTTCATTTTAAAATTAAGACAGCTCACAGTTAATTCAAGAGCATCAGTTATTTTGTACAAGTTCTGCTAATTAGATGTATCTTAATGATGTGTTAGTAGCAAGATACAGACAAAAACAAATGCTATTCGAATGTATAACGTCACCATTCTCGTTTCTGTATGTGAAGATCTCATTCACGCCAGGTGATACATGTGGTGGTACTTTGAACAAGCTATCTTGCCACCTTACATCTAATCCCTCTTCTGCCAACACGTCACATTTTCCTGTTCCCCCAAAAAAAAACTATTAGTTAAGCATAAAAATATTGTTAATCTTGACAGTTTTTTTTTTTTTTGGTTAATTATCATTATTTTATTAATAAAATAAGATCAGAGACAGATGATGAGATAAGACGTTAATCTCTCTTTCCCTGCCTTTAACTTTCCTTTATGTTGATTTTCAATACTTGCCTTGCCTTTTCTTACATTAATTTCCTCTAGCTCCCATTGCCCGTATAATCCTTGTGCAACATTGGCTAGCATGTATTGATCTTGCTATATGATCACGCGTTGGGTTAATTATGAACAATCTCACAACTTGTAAGTGCCAAGTGAAATTTTGAACTTTATAATAATTTACAAAAATTTGGATATTTTTTATTGGTATAAGTTACATTCTTAATTTTAGCAGTTGGTTTTATTTGTATATAATTGCTGCAATCTGTCATATATATGAGCCATTAAATATAAACAAATCAATAAACAAGATTTAGTGTAAAATTTCTTATTTTTACCACCTCAATTTACAGATTTGGTTTTTGGTTTTTGGTTATCAAATATTTTAGAATTCATCAGGCTTTGAATATGCATTTTGGGGAAGCCCCAAAACGAGTTTCTTTCTTCCTCTATTCCCTTGTTTCACATGAAATTGTGTACATTTGTCTAGCCATCTTGTTCTCATTAACGTTAAAAAGATAAAAATAAAATAAAAAGAACTATTCTTTGTCATGTGTGTGTGTTTTATCGGTCAAAATGTCTTGGTGGAAATTACTAAGCTCTGTGTTACTGATTGGATATTTTAGATTCAAACCCTTTGCAGGAAGGGAACACTTCCACAAACAGTGAAGTTGCAAGTAACACAAACAACGATGGTGCTAGAATCGAGGAGCGACCAGCTGCACCTCGCAATTTGGTTATGCAGGAAGAGGAGCAGAGTATGCCCATTGCAAGTTTGATGAGAATCATGCGGCGGATTCTTCCGCCGCATGCAAAAGTCTCCGAAGAGGCCAAGTTAGCAATTCAAGGGTGCGTGTCTGAGTTCATAAGCTTCATCACCGGCGAGGCCAACGAGCGATGCCAGCTCGAGCATAGGAAAATCGTTACAGCAGAAGATGTACTGTGGGCAATGGAGAGGCTAGGATTTGAAGAATATCTCGAACCTCTTCGTTTTTATCTCCTACGTTATCGCCATAATGAGGTTGAATGCTTGGGACATCATGGAGGACATGTTCCTATGCGGCGAATCAATGCAAATTATAGAATGCCTCCACCTCCACCTCCACCACCACCTACACTAGCTTCTTATGGGTCTAATTTCACTGCCACTTCAAGTGGGTTATACAAAGATGGGTCGGGTGCTAGTGGCTCGGGCAGTGACCAACTTTGATCCTTTTAGTTACCATAAACGTGATCGATTAAGTTGAGTGGGTTGGTAAAAGACCTTATGGGGAAGACAGTGCATTTATGGAGTGAGAGTAGTTTTTGAATGTTACATGTTAAGATTATAACAGTTTGTGCTTTGAAACACAAGGACTGGCTAGCATTGGGGGACTAATATGCTGGTTCCTTCGGGTTTTTTTGTTTTGTTTATTTGTTTTTGCTTTATTTGGTTTATGTGTTATTGTTTTATGGATTGCCAAATCTTCAGAAATATATGATTGGTTGAAAGTTTTGTTGGGTTTCCCACCTTAATTTTGATGATAACAAATAAGGAATAGGGCTCTTTCAGCGATTGAGGTTTTTTGTGATTTTCATTTATCAATTTGGTATTTGGTTCAAGGTATTTACGAATTGGGGTCATTTAGTGACGCGAGGGGGACCCAGCGTCACTGAGTGCCGCTATCATCCCCTCGCGTCACTCTCACTTTTTTTATTTTTTTTTTACTTTTTTCTATTGAGTGCCGCCCCCCCTCCCCTGGGGCACTCACAGAATTGTGCCAAGTGGCACAATCTGGTTACTCCTATTACCGTAAAACTTCGGAAAGCCATAACTTTTGATTTGGGTATCCAAATTAGATGATTTTTTTTTTGATTTCACATAACTTTTTGAGATCTACGCAATGACATCTCATTTGACATATTTTATCTTCTATTAAGATAGTTCAAATTTGCAACACTAATTACACTTTTTTACAGATTTGAATTATGTTTGTGAGAGATAAAATATGTCAAATGAGATGTCATTGCGTAGATCTCGAAAAGTTATGTGAAATCAAAAAAAAAATCATCTAATTTGGATACCCGAATCAAAAGTTATGGCTTTCCGAAGTTTTACGGTAATAGGAGTAACCAGATTGTGCCACTTGGCACAATTCTGTGAGTGCCCCAGGGGAGGGGGGCGGCACTCAATAGAAAAAAGTAAAAAAAAAATAAAAAAAGTGAGAGTGACGCGAGGGGATGATAGCGGCACTTAGTGACGCTGGGTCCCCCTCGCGTCACTAAATGACCCTCATTCGTAAATAGCTTTAACCCAATACCAAATTGATAAATTAAAGAAATAAACACCCCTAGTGGGTGAAAGAGCCTAAGGAATAGTGATCAAAGTGCCGCTATTCACCAACTTTTTTACTTAAATGCCACGCGAACAGTCTTATTTCCCAATCTGCCACAGGGGCAAATTCGTTACCCGGTGTAGCGAACTCAGTTTGCCGACGTGTCACATTTCTAGTGGATAACAAGTACCAAATTAAAAAAAAAAAGGTTTGAAGGTCGTTACCCCGTGTAGCGAACTTGGTGTCCACTAGAAACGTGACATGTCAGCAAACCGAGTTCGCTACACCGGGTAGCGAACTCGCCCCTGTGGCAGATTGAAAAATAAGACTATTCGCGTGGCATTTAGGTAAAAAAATTGATGAACAGTGACATTTTAGTCACTGTTCCAACAAATAATTGAAGCCAAATTATCTAACCTTTGTTTAGTTTATGAAAAGTTGTTGCAGAACTTAATTTATGATGAAGAGAATGCAACAGAGTTGTGATGAAATTGTGAAGATCAAAGTTGCAAAATAAAATCTTAGATTTTATGTAAAGGTTGGATGAAGTGAATCCTTTTTTTTTTTTTGGATTACAAGATGAGGTGAATCCTAATAATGACTTGAGTCATAATCTTTAAAATTTTGAAAACTAAAGAAGAAGATTTAAAAGTTTTATTTTTAATACAAATAGATTTTTAAGATTTGGTTTTTGATTTGAAAAAGTTAATTTGAGATTAATTTTCTTTTTAAAAGAATTGATTTGAATTTATCTTTTTTTAGGAAAGTTAACTTGAAGATTTTGATTTTATTTTCAAAAAGATATTTTGGAAAATTTTCTTAAAAATCATGATAATCTTGAGATTTTTTTCTTAGTAATTGATTTTGAGAAAAAATCTATATATATCATATCTTGAGTCCTTGTTCAAATGGTGAGTGAGCATTCAAGAGATTTTTTTTTTTTGACCATTCGAAAGAAAGAGCGCATTGAGCATATTATGAGTATCTTTTCTTAAGGAGCATTCAAACTAATTTGGTAATCAATGTTCGAGCAGATTCATTGAGTTCACCACTTAGGTTTTATTTGTACCTATTTGCTTATTATTTAGCAGCGTGTAAGGTAACCAATTTTAATTGGATTTTCTTTTTGACGTTGGAAAAAGTCGTGGCTTAAAATAAGTCGGTCTTTGCTCATTTTGAATAGAGACAGCCGGACAGGAGCCATTTGGCTTATAAGAGTCTTTGATTAGACTCTGTTCTTCGTGATCGCGGAAAAGGTCGTGGCTTATAAATAAGTCGGTATTTATTTGTTGTGAATAAAGATGAGAGCAGTTTGGCTTCAAAGAGGCTTTGATTAGACTGTGTGAGAATCCTAGGAGTAAGATTCTGGAAACATTGGGTAAGGTTTTAGGTTAATTCTTGTATAAGAGTAAAATATGGTCTTTTCTTGTACTTTGAATAGATCCACAGTGGATTTTGTCTCCAAATTGAATAGAGGTATCCAAATTGGGATCGTGAGTTTTTTCCTCCAATTGAAGTTTTTTCCACGTTAAATAAGTGTGTCACTTCTTCCCTTTATTATTTATTTTGTTACAGTTGTATATTTTTAAATAACAAAATTTTCTATAAACTCAATTCATCTCTCTTGAGTTCAACTGGACCAACTGGTTTATCCTCTCTTTTCTTTGGTTTTTTTTTTGTGGGATAAATGGTTGTTATAAAAATTTTACTTTGTAATTGAAATATAATCCCAAACATGATAAAGTAAAAGTTTTATTCACATTGTTCAATTTTTAAAATCAGGTTTATTATGAGAAAACTCAAGTTCTTTGTGGTTACTTCTCCCCGTCAAAGTATTAGATGCAATTTTACTCAACAATAAAGTCTTTTAAAATAATCAATATCTAATATGGGTTCACTTTTTCTATGGTGGTCAATGTAGATAATTTATCTATATTGAATCTAAAATGATAGTGTTTTGAAGCGAAAATCAAAGTATTTTTGTAATTATAATTTATTTCAGGATTATAATAGTCTTTTTTATTATAATTTTTTAATTTTTAACCCAAAACTACTTTATTTTAGGAGCAAATATAGATAACTTATCTACATTCATTATAGAAACATTAAAATCATCTAATATAGTATATAAAACAAGGTTTATGACTTTAAGTTTCATGGCACTTATAATCACCCTATACGTCATTAGATATCTTATTGATATTTTATTGACTCTTTTTGTCCTTCTATCTGCGAAGCTATTTCCTTAAACTTCACTTTCAGCTTTTTCCAGCTCCTCTTATTCTTCTTCCATATCACGTACATTCTTTCTTTCTTTTTTTATACAAATATCTCGTACATTCTAATTGACAAAATTTATCATAAATATACCAAAATACGAATAAAACATTCGATCTATATTTTCTAAATATCCAATTAATTGTGTTATGATTTTTAAATAGTCAACCATGAAAATGTAAACAATTTTCAAATCCATGTGAAATTTTCATTTTGTTTTTCACCATCATCAAAACAAGTTAAAAAATAATGTAAGCGAATCAGTTTCGCTTCATGTTACTGTAAAACTATTTGTGTCTCATGTGTAACGTATGTCAATTGGTTTAATTAATAATAAAAGAGGCTTTATGGTAATTGACGTTTCACATTAATGGTAATTGACGTTTTGACGTTTTGCATTAATGAAAAGTTACAGGGAGTTATTTGAAACTCCGTAACTGGTGACATGGTTCAGTTATATAAAGAGAAAAATGGTGAGTCTCTGATTATGATTATCTCTCAGAATTCTCTCCTTCATGGTCTGCCCATAAAAGTTGTATCAGATCCCTGTCATAGACGATACAAGGAAAGCAGAGGGTAAAGACTCTGAGAAACAATCTTCCATCATCAAAGTTCTTCCGCACTAATGGAGAAAGATACGCTCTTATGTGAAAATCATGATCTCTAAAGATCCTGTATCATGTTCTTGCATGTAGAATATTGAACATGAATTATTGAATTGCTGATGAATAACTTACATGTGGTATCAGAGCATGTGTGTAAGAGTTTGTGATTTTCCGTAAACAATTATGCATGATCTCTTGATTCATGAAAAGTTAGGGTTTTTTGAGAAAATTGACGATCATCATTGAAAATAAAATAAAAGTCGATCGATATAAATTATTCGGTTTTCGCGATCATCATTTGAATTTTGCGTTCATATTACGGTTTTCATATTGATTTAAATGATTATGTGATGTGGTTGGATTAAAATTAAATGTGAAAATTTAATCCTATTATTGTTTATGAATATTAAAGTTTTGGAATTAATTATGGTAGATTTGTTAGTCACCAAAGTGGCCAAATCTTGAAGAGTTATTTTAATTTCAAATATTATGAATTTTATTTCAATTACCATGACTGTGATGCTGTGAATAATATGATATAATTATTCATGTTGTGGTATATTGAAGTTCATTATTATAGAACAGTTAGGGATCAACCCAAAGATTCATTATTTGTTTTATAAAATGAACATAGATGTTGGTATTGTTGGCATATTTCCTTGCATTTGGACATCCAAAGATGACAAATATTTATGATAGGGGTATGCATCATTGCCAAATTATGTGAAATTTATATAGTATCATCATAGTTAATGTTGTATCTTAATGGATCCCCAAAGGCGAACATTGATATGCATTGAAGTTAGTATAGTTGAATCTGTGAAGTATGTTAGTATGTGATATGTATGTCTCAAAGCATTAATGTTTTAAATGTTATTCCTCGCAGTACCGGTTGCTACACATTCCATGTTCTTAACTGTTGCAGTTTTTAATGGGTTGAACTTCTCTGAATGGAAAGAGCAAATCAATTTTTACCTTGGGGTAATGGATATGAATTTGGCTCTAAGAGAAGA